CAGAAGTCAGATCTTCTCAAAATGGCACAGAAAGTAAGTAGGTGTGTCCTTCCTATGTTGGATTGGGCAAGACCACCTCCCTAAAAGTCCACGCCATCACTCATTGGCTCCTGTTACCTCCAATGAACAGAAGAGCGAGGGATTTTGAAGTTTTTCTAACCTAGCAGGACAGATTCTCTAGGGTAGGTTGCACGACGTAGTACGGGCGCCGGGATGCAGTTCGGCGACGGGGGGAGGGTGCATTTTGCTTCCCATCGATGTGTCGACCCATCTAGATAGCCTTTTCTTGAGTTGACACGTTTTACCATGGTGGCTAGACGAGCTTGCTCCAGCTTCACAAAGTTCACAAGTTTCACAGGTGAGACTTGTAAACCGGAAGTAGTGAAGCAGTGAAAGTGCAAAATGCCCTCCCTCTGTCGCCGTAGTGCGCCCGGCCGGGCGTTGTCGTGAAGCAGATGCCCTTTTCTGATGACCAGCATCGAGCCCATGAATTTAGACTTATGGTGTATGTCGTCAGTTATGTGACAGTCCTTTTCAGCCGCAGTGGTCTCGCCTGGATCCACGAAAGATCCCTGGTAGCGGCAGATCAACCCGTCACTATAACCTTCTCACGCACGTCGCACACTAAAGATTCCCTGGGGAAGGAGAGGGGTCATATATGGCCTGGGATATTTTTCTTATTGGTATTATCCCATTTCTACATATATCGTAGGACATTCTTCATGACTGATATTCGCTCTCCGCCTGAGCGAATTCAGGCATTGCGTTTTTGCATAACCTCCCGGAAATTGTCTTGGGATTGTTATACAACGATAATACGCGATTTGCGTACCTGAATGAATCTTGCAAGCGACATGAGGGCACATCGCTGTTGGGGATTCGCCAAAAGGGGCCGTATTTGGTCGCTAAGGGAGGGGGACGTATTTGGGCTGAGAAAAATTTATTTTGACAGTTGTTTTTCCTTGTTTCACGGACTTGTAAAGGGGGGATTTTTTTATTTGTTCGTTGTTGGGAGGAGAGGTAGGTCGTATGTTCTTCTTGTTAAAGAAGGGATTGTTCCTTGTTGGAGGAGGGGTAGGTCGCATGTGTTCCTTCTGACCCACCAAGGTTGCTGACGGTGCTTCGACTTTTCACTGTCTCATGTGTAGCAATGCCCCCAGCCGAACCCCCCCATTGTCCCCGCACTCGAACCGGCTGTTCGACAGCAAAATTTTTGGGGAAAAGTAGGAAAATTTTCGGGGAAATTCCGGAAAAACTGGTAGTAGTTGGGGGAAGAAGAAAATGGTAAAGAGAGAGGCCGTATTTCCCTCGCAGACGCTTTTTCCCGTTTCGATATGTGCTGTTGTACATTTAAGTGACAGCTGATGTTTTTTTTATTATCCGATTTCTTTCGCGTCGTTTTATTATCGCTGTGGAACGAGAATTGCTATTGCTATTGGTAGCAACAAGGAGTTCGAAGAGCGTCGAATAATCATTGCACTTTTCCATTTCTGCACAATAATTAGAATGGATTACAAGAACATGATAAACATACTAGGCATCTGCAGGCGTCCAAATGTTCAGAAATAAACAATCTTCACTGACTGGCGTGTTGTGATTCCACATCTCGGATCCCCAAAACGAGGTGTTATACGTGTCACGACCCTAAAGAAAAAAAATAGCAGGATAGCACAATATCTATCCATTCGAGTGGGATGGAAAAAGCCCAAACTCCTGCCTTTTGGAAAGGCGTCTAGTGTGCAAACACATAGAAGGTCGTAGTTTGTTTTGGCTGAGGGGGGGTCGTAATTGGTCACCCGGGGGTGGGGTTGTGACGGTCGTATGTGGCCTTCGAATTTGCCGATGCTGGGAAAACTTCTTCGTTGTTTGAGCTTTTCGGCGGTGTTTCTGGTTTCATGTCTCTATATACCGCTGCCCTATCCCCCCCTCCCACCCCCACCCCCCCATCAAGAAATTGGAAAATGTAAGGCAAATGTTAGGTACACAATTCGAGGAAAGGGGGAGGCGGGGCGAAACGTCTATGAGCCTCGATTGGGTGGGCGAGCGTCGACTGACACTCTCTCTTAAGGGAAGGGGTCCGTAGCCGAGTCCGCCTCGGGCGCCCGCCCCCTCCCCCTCTGCTTCCTCCTCCTGCGCGTGCTCAGCCGGATCTGATCTGTTATCAGTCAGTAGGGTAACATCACGATGCTGTACCCTATTGACTGATAACAGATAGTGTAGTCGCTGTAAATTTGTGCGCTATTTATGCTAATCCCCTCTCATCTTTCAAATGACCTCCGCGGTTATTTCAACACTGGACTCATATTTTGAAATCTTCTCCGATGTCGGAACTGCTCAGAGTTTGTCACAATTGTCTGACTCTCAAAGCGAATGGCAAGAACGCCTGGAGCTCGCGCCGGTGCTTATGAAGCGGAGGCTGGGTGTGTCGCTTCAAACGGATGCAAAATTCGAGTTCGGGGTCGAACCGCCCCTGAGAAATCTATAGATCAAAGTTTGGCCTGAGTTTTGAAAGTAGGGTGTAAAGGGTCAATGGTCATAAAAATTAGTCACCTAATGCAACAAGGAAAAGAAAAAAGTGAGAGCTATTATTGAAGAATAACTACACCCGCATGACTGAAGAGGAAGAGAATCAATTTCATTTTATTCATTTATTAATTTACTGCATGCACGCGTAGGTGCGCTACTACAATTGATAAGTCGTTGAATGCCACGTAAACAGGGACTTAGGCGATACAAATTACTACAGCCCTAAATCCTCAAAACGGTAGGAAGGTGTCCTGTCAGAAAACATACTTCACCAATTGCAGGAGCCATAGAAAATTTCACGAAGGGATTCAACAAAAGTAAGTTCATTAGGCGGATGACGCTAGTAAGAACGCCACTCCTAGACGAGAATTTTCTGAATCGGAAACCGGATTTTTGGATGTTTAATTTTCGAAAAGTTTCGTTCGAAAAGTAGCAATAATAATAGAATATTAGAAATTGCAACGTTTTGGGTGTTGCCTTCTGGTTTCGCCCATAAACACGTCGAGTTTTTCAACCAGTTTCTGGAGTTTGCTCAGCTTTTACATCCAAGCTTTTTTATTTATTCCAACTAAGCTCTGGGAAGGGTAAACCTACTTCGAGTACATACAGTAATACTATTAGTATGTACATGAACACCATTTTGCTTTTTTGCTCTTTGCGTTTTTTGCTTTTGCTTTTCTCCGAAGGTTCCTTTTAAAGGCAGTTGGCACGACAATTTAGCACTCAGCTTAAAATGCTAGAAGGGCGCTATCTAGTGGGAGAATGGCGAAACGAAGTGAGACGGGATAAAAACTGCGAAGAAAGGCGGTCGTTATTAAAGAAGCATTTTCGGACGAGTTTCCGTAGGCGTTTTCCCATACCGCTCCGCAGGTACGGCGTCATGTAATCGTGCTCATAATATCCATTGCAGCTTCGCATCCGCTAACAGTCATTAATCCCTTCGCTTGTATGATACTCAGCAGAATGAAGCAACAAAGGAGGATCTTGTAAGGTTGTTCTTTGTGGGCCGGGCGGGCGGGCAGCCTGTTGGGTCGGATGTTATAGGCATGCTAGGACGCCCTTAAGCGTACCTCCCATAGGAAACACCGCTGATTGCCACGCCCTACTCAAGTGGCGGAAATCGGCCCGCCGGGCTACGCAATGCCCACTGTTTTGTAGGCGATTTATCGTGCCCCAACTGCCTTTTAATGTCTCCTCGCTATGCCTATTAGAGCCCAAATTCTACTTGTCAGGCACCATTCCATCAAGGGTATTCCAATCCACTAAAAATTAACATCGAATTGAATTGATTTTTCTCACTAGTACTTTTCCCTTTGACTTCTTGCGGCGCTGTTCGGCGTCGGGGGGCATTTTGCACTTTCACTGCTGCACTAGTTCGGGTTTCAGGTTTCACTCTGGTAAAACCTGTGAACTCTTGTTAAGCTAGAGTAGGCTCATCGAGCTACCATGATAAAACCTGTCAACCCTTGTGAGCTCATGAAATAGCTCTCTGGTTAGTAGCAAAGTGCAAAATGCCCCCCCCCTTCTTGAACTGCGCCCTTCTTGCTTGTTTAAGGAGTGTTTTTTGGTTCTCGCTCGAAAGTTTTCGAAGTTTCAAGTGTACCTGGTAACAAGCTGGTGACAGCGTGTTGGCTGTGATCGTTTCATTCCATGGTTTTTTCGGTTTCGGCGGTCGAAATCGTTGCTCACCCGTCGGAGGTTCAGCGAACGGAACACTGAAAATGAAATTCTGAACGTTCATCATTAGAGAGCTCAAAAGAGCACAAATTGACAGAACACTGTTCCGATTCGTTTATTGTATTTCCAATAAAAAAATCACCTCAGAAATGATCGAACCCGTTTGTGAAGAAATATGGACTCTTGACCTCGGATCTTACCAAGACGTGTTTCAACTTCAACTGGGATATGATTTTGGTGGGAAGCTGCCTGAAATATAGTAAAGAGGGGTCTTCTGTTCATTCCTGAATTACGTTGATAGCAAAATTCTGAAAAAAATTAGATATCGGTTGTGTTCTCATCTACATTTATAATAATTTTTGGTTTTTTTTTGCTTTGGACTATGATCCAATGAGCACCCTTCAGATGCGAAAGTAGCGTGGGACAAAATGAGTCCAGAAAGAAGAGCGCTAAACTTGACCTGCAAACTTAACTAAAGTAAGCATAGCATTCCGAGAGCGTTTGCAAATAATGCTAGAAAAATTTTACCTGGGTGAATAGAACGAAAAATGTGCTGAGAATGACCTCCACCCACATAGTCCCAGCAGCTGTGGTGTACTGAAAAGGGCAAAAATTC